CCTAGTCTGGGGAGCAGGGGCCTAGTCCTGGGCGTCGGGGCTGATTTTGGGCCTGGTCTCGGAGTTGACGCCAGTGTTGGGGCCTGCTCGGGGCGGCCGGGCCTGGGCCAGGGCCAAGGGGCGGTGCGGGGCCCGGTCTGTGGGCTGGGGGATCGGGCTGGGCCTCCTCCCCGTAGCTGCGGCCCGGGACGGGTTGGCAGGGCCCTCCCGCACGGGGGAGGCTCTGCCGTTCAGCACGGTCTCGCTTCGCCCGTTCCCTCCCCCTCACAGGGCCGCTCGGAGCCAGCGTCGCCTCCGTGACGCTGCAGCGTGGTGGCCATGTCCCTGTGCGAGTGGCACATCGCCGTGAAGCTGGCGGACCAGCCGCTCGCGCCCAAATCCATCCTGCGGCTCCCGGAGACGGAGCTGGGCGAGTGCCCCCTGGGCGGCTGCAGCATCTCCCACCTGAAGCAGCTCATCACCGGGAAGCTGCAGGAGTCCGTGCCGGACCCGGAGCTCATCGGTAGGTCCCTGCGTGGCCGCAGGGCCTCTCACGGGGGCTGTGCTCAACTTTCCAGCAGCTGCCTAGTGCTGCGTTAATTACGTATTAATTATATGCGCATTTCTCTCACTAAAAAGTGTTCTGGTGATACCAAAGTGTCTCTTGCTATGGGAAGCTGTGAAAAACTTGTTTGCTCTCTCTTCCAGATTTGATCTACTGTGGTCGTAAGCTGAGGGATGACCAAACACTGGATTTTTATGGCATCCAGTCCGGCTCCACTGTTCATGTCCTGCGCAAGTCCTGGCCTGAGCCGGATCAGAAGCCGGGTGAGGCTTGGGATAACCCTCATCAGTCCTTGGGATGAGCCTGGTGCGGGTCCTATTCAAGCAAGGAGCAACATTTCCTGAGATCCGCTTTGGAAAACTGGGTGTGGGATTTGGATGAGGCGCTGGCAAACATCTTTGCCCTTGCATTGGAGCTCACCAGTTCTCTGAGCAGCAAATGGCCCCTGTGTTTTATTGCTAATGGAGGAGTTCCAGGAAGGAGCCGCATGATGTGGAGAGCAAATTTTGCCTCCTTAATTGAACTGCGACCCATTTTAGGGGGTTGCCAGTGAATCAGAAACAGAGTGAGAGGTTGCTCCAGCTGCAGGGGTGCATGGGTTTGTGTGTGTCTTGCTCTGCCAAACCGCAGAATAAAACACGTTAGTTTAAAGTTCTTATTTCAACATCTTTCTGTGCGTGTGGGAGGGTGTATGTACATATTTTTGCATGTCTGGAAGCTGGGAGCCTGTTCTCTGGGCACTTGCAACCATTTTTCTGTACCCTTCCTCCCGGGATGAAATGAATCCAGGGAATTCAGTCGCCATTGGCCCTGCAGCAAGGAAGCCCCAAAAGGTGCTCGAAAGGCTAATAACCCCCGCAGGAGAGAGGGAACGCCGCTCTGCTCTCTTGCTCTTCCCGCAGAGCCCGTGGATAAGGTGGCCGCGGTGCGGGAATTCCGGGTCCTCCACACCGCCCTGCACAGCAGCCCTGCCTACAGGGACGCGGTGAGTGCGCTGGCGTTTCCCGGGAAAGGGGCAGATCCCGGAGGGGAGCCGTTCTGCGACGCCACTGATCCCTCCGCCATCTCGGGCAGGTCTTCAAGATGCTGGGAAACAAGGAGTCCTTGGACCAGATCATTGTAGCTACGCCTGGCCTCAGCAGTGACCCCGTCGCTTTGGGTGAGTCTAAACGGGACCCGGAGGATGCAAGGAAAGCCAGAGGAGCGTGGTTAGTGTGTAATTCATGATGTGGAGGAGAGAGAGAGCACTTTTCTCCGAAGAAAGTGCCCCTTTGTGGCACATAAGGGTGTCTGAGTGTCTGCTGAAGAGGCGGTTAGGCTCCGCTGTAACACTTGGGGCTGGGCACGAGCTTCAAGAGGGAACACGGAGCTGGAGGGGGAGCTCGAGGTGCTCTTTCCTTCTGCAAAGTGTTGCAAAGATGTCATCAAATGTCGGCGTCGGCCCAGCGAGTTCTTGGCCGTTTAGCACGTTGCCTTAGAGAGGCGGAATAGGGAGAGCAGCCGGCTGGGCTGGGCTGGGCTGAGAGTGGCTCTGTCTGTAGGGAAGAGCTGCTGTTTGTGCCTGGGCAGAGCCCCTGGGATCTGCTGGGAAGACTCTGCCATGGGAGTGTGGTTGTGATGGGGAATCCCTCCACAGAGAAGTGGAAGATTTTGAAGAGAACAATAACAGAGTACTTACGGCGCCTGCTAGTGACTCCGTTCCTGAAAGACAGTCAATTTCTTTGGTTTTCCAATGGTTCTTTTTTCCCTGGCTGCTGTGGGTTTTCTGTATCCTGCCTCTTACTTTTGTTTCCTGGTCCTTCCCAGGAGTCCTGCAGGACAAGGATCTCTTCTCAGTGTTTGCAGACCCCAACATGCTGGACACGTAAGTTCACGTGAGCCCCTTGGGGCAGCGGCGAAGCAGAGCCTGGGCTGTGCTGCTGCCCCAGCTGCTCTTCTCTGCGTGCAAGAGGCTTCTGCTCCCATCTGCCAGTACAGCTACCCCCAGCCAGAGATTCAGCAACAGAAAAGAGGGAGCTGAGGCTTTGCCTAGAGCTTTGATGTGCATGTACCTCCAATATTGCACAGACCAAAGGATATTTCATGAGAGACAAGGGCTATCCTTGTGTCCAGATCATGAGGTTGAATTCAGATACTGTTTCTCACAGCAGAAAGTTAATCGGGACATGTGTGAAATGGGAGAGTCAACATGGGGTCAGGAAGGAGCTTCCTTCCATCTATAGATTCAGGCCCTCATCAGTGCCAGTCCCACGGAGGCCGTCGATCGGAATGGGGACAACAACCCTCATGTGTGGGCTCTCTTGGGATGTTGTGTGTGATCGTCACGAATGTTTCTGCCTTTGCTTTCGTGAGCTTTGTGCTGCCGTTGAAGTGCTGCTTTCCCTGCCCATGACGCATCCTCACGCTCTGTCCCTCCAGGCTCATTCCCGCGCACCCGGCGCTCGTCAACGCCATCGTCCTGGTGCTGCACTCGGTGGCCGGCAGCGCCCCGCTGCCAGCCCCGGACACCTCCTCCCGGAGCCTCTCGTCCGGCTCCTACCGGGAAATGCCAGGTGCGTCCAGCCCGCAGCCCCTCAGGGTGCCGTGCAACAGAGCTGCTCGTGCCGTGCTGACCTGGTGCGACCTAGGCTGGAAGAAGAGTTTGGGGTTCTGGAGTGTTCGTTGTGGTTTGGTAGATTTTTGCACCGACCGTGAGACTCATCTGGTCCACTTCAGGCTCAGGGCCTCTCCCAGCTGAGTCTCTACAAAGTGCTTGGCTTCACTCACATACAAATGATGGGCTTGAGATCTCGCTGGGGCTGAGGCCTCTTTCCTAACGCTTTGGCTGGAGCTGAGCCAGGTTCGTTGGACTCCCAGAATCCTTGTTTCCTGCCAGCACCTAGTTTTCTGCATCCGTTTGTTTTGTGTTCCGTTCCAGGTGGCTTTCTGTTTGAAGGTCTCTCAGATGAAGAAGACGACTTTCACCAGGTGACTGGGCAGGTTGGGGTGCAGCAGCTGCTTGGGGTTTGCAGCGTGGGTTCAGCACCGCTGCTCGTTTTTTTTGTTGCTGGCTGTTAACGCTGTGTTTGTGAGCTGGTGAATGACACACAGAAAGGTTTACTGGCAGTGTCTGCAGCCTTGCAGTAACAGAGCTTGGGAATAGCTGCATCTCATTGCCAGGGGTGTGTGTTTTCCGAGAGCCCTGCGCCCGACTTCCAAGTGCTGTGAGGGAGGGATCCCTGGGCATAAGCACGTGAGCCATAGTCTAGTGGGACACAGACACCAAAATTGCGGGTTTTGGGTTGTTTTTGCCCCTTTGTGCAGAGCACCCGATCAACACCGTCCAGCAGCGCGTCTGGTTCCCGGCCGGCCTCCCTGGGCTACTCGGGGGCCGCGGGGCCGCGGCCGATCACGCAGAGCGAGCTGGCCACCGCGCTGGCCCTGGCCAGCACCCCGGAGAGCAGCTCCCACACGCCGACTCCGGGCACGCAGGTACGAGGGCAGCGGGGCTCGAAGCCAACCGGGGGGCCCTGGCAGGGTAATTCTCTTACAACTGGGGTCTCGGCCTCATTTGTGGAGTAATAATTGGAGTTTTGGAGGTGCTGCTCTTGCTGCCTCTGGTTGTGGTGACGACAGTGGCCTGCTGATCCTCATGTAACCTGTTTCCTCCCAGGGTCACTCCTCTGGCACCTCCCCAATGTCATCCAGCGTCCAGTCGGGAACACCCATCACCAACGACCTCTTCAGCCAGGCCTTGCAACATGCCCTGCAGGCCTCCGGGCAGCCCAGCCTGCAGGTCAGTGCCTCGGCCTCTTCCCCGGGAGCCGTGGAAAGTCCAGCAGCAGGTGTTGCAGGGTGGAGCTGGGTCTTCCATCCACCTCCTGGGGCAGGAGGTCAGGCAGGAAGGGGGATATCGGAGAGCAACGTGAAGCACAGCGGGTCTGGTGGGCCGGGGGTCGTTTTCAGCAGGACTGAGAGCTGCTTTTTTCTCCTGTCTGTAGAGCCAGTGGCAACCACAGCTTCAGCAGCTGCGAGACATGGGCATCCACGATGATGAGCTCAGCCTCCGGGCCCTGCAGGCCACCGGAGGGGACATCCAGGCCGCCCTGGAGCTCATCTTTGCTGGTGGGGCTCCCTAGCTTTGGGCACCTCATACCGCTGCTCGCGCTGCGGCCCGGCCCTGCGGCTCCTGCCTGCAGCCAGGCTGCGCCCTTGGGCATGGAGCACCCGGGGCGGTGGCTCCTTTCCTTGCAGGTGGCCTCGGGCTCCTGTTTGGGAGCCCTGGCCATGCTAAGGGTATCCAGATGCCTCTCTCCATCTTGCCCCTCTGCCCGCCAGAGATGCGGCCTTGGAGCTTTGCGCTGCACGGAGAAGGATCGGTGGCTTTTTTTGCTCCAAGAGCTGTGGTGACTGCATTTCTGCAATCTTAGCTGTTTCAGCACATTCCCTGGTTCGCTGGTTTGTTCCTGCCCACCTGACACGCTTCAGGCTATTCCGTTTTGCTGTTGTGGTTCCTCTGTCTGACTGTATTAAACGGACTGTCTTCACTCGCCTGGTGTTTGGGTTGTGATCACTCCTGCTTTAGGCTCAGCACATCGGAGCGCCGGGGCGTTCCCTGCGCCACCAAGCCCGGGAACCGCTATGCCCC